GGTGTGCACACTAAATTTAGTTATAAAATGTCAAGAAACTTTCTGCGATGTGAAAAGGACAAAGGGACTTGGGAGTAGCATGTTACTGGTGAGGGCAACTGGGCCGCTGATACACAGCAGCAGTTTTAGCTATATTTGTGTTTCTTATGGTTTTAGAATTGTTTGTAGAGTTTGCCATAGCAACAAAGTATTTATCACAAATATTCCAAGACACTAAGGCTAGATTCAGTAACTTCTAGAGGAAAATGGTTTTGTTGCTCATCCTTCATACTGACACCATTCCTGTGATTCCCTCCTCATCCTTTCTGGGCTTTTTCCTTCCTTGCTTATTCCATTCAGGCAGCAGTCATGGCCATACACATGCTGGTTGGTGTTGGCTCTTGTTCCTGTCGTACATTTTTTACCTTTGCCTGAACTGCTTAGTCTTTCCTTGTGTCCTCCCATCAGCCCCAGGCTGCATCCCGTGCTGGAGGACTGGGAATGCATTTCCTCAGCCAGTGTCTGACTGAGTGCTGGCATCCAGCGGAGCCCTGCTGAGACAGCAGCACTGCAGAGCTGGACCTGGTTATCTTCTCTTAGCCACCCTTGATTGATATTTAGAAATCTGCTTTTGTTGCCAAGAGATTTACTACTGTAATCATACAAATATTTCTAGCAAACAGACCAAGAGCTGTTGCATTTGCTTCTGTTGCTGCTTGTTTATGGATGGAAGATGCCAGGATTGAAGTTTAACTGAGAGAAATAGCATGGCAATCCTGCAGTTGTTTGGATCTGGAGTCATTCTTTGCATTTATTTCTTCCAGATGGAATTTGTTGGATTTGTCTGTGTCTGGAGATCAGCAAGTGACTGGGTGACTACGGTGACCTCTGTGCACTGTGTTTTTGTGATGCCACTTGTGCAGTGTAGGGCTGCAACTCTGCTGCTTTAGTAGTTGGTCAGTGGTGGTGGGATCAGCTGGATTCCTGCCCCTTTCCCGAATAAGGATGGTATTGGGATTTTAGTAAAAACTGTTTTGTACTAAAGTGCTCATTTGTAATGTTTAAACACCTCTTCCCTCTCTTGAGGTAGTTAAGGAGATGGCCAGCCCTAAGTTATTATTTCATAATAATAGGTTTATAAAATTTGTGTTTGGGAGTTTATAGCTTACTTGTGTTATTTATTTCCAGTATAGACCTGTCTGCAGATCAGCGGCTGATCAACATCCTTTTGGTGATTTCTTTATTTTCCAGATACATGTTATATAGGAAACCTGTGGTAGTTAACAGGGCTGCAGGTTTAAATTCACGTCCTGGATCACCAAAGATTTAAGAACCAGTTAAAGAAAAGGAAAAGGGGATAGGGGGTTGTTTGGAGAGTGGGGGTAGAGCACAGACTTTCTGTGATTTGCTGTTGTGCACTTTAAAGTTTTATGGGCCATGGTACATCCCTTGGGAGGATAAAGTGCAAGGAGCATGAAGAAACCCATAAAATGACGAAGGGTTTATGTGGTATAATTAATGTGGAACTTTCCATGAACTTTATAATACTTACACTTTCTTAATTCTACATGAGTTTCTGGTTTGCTAATAAGTAATCTTGAAGATTGCTAATGGAACTTAAATTTTGCATTTTCATTCTGAATTATAACAGGACACATTGTAGGCTGCTATATTTTAGTCTATAGCTTCCTTACTTGAGTTCTCAGCTGTGGCTGTGCCTGCCTTGGGAAATATTTTTGAGCTGTGGCCAGCTCTGCACTAAAAACCCCCGTGTTGATAGAGCTTTACTGGCAAATCCTCCCTGTGCCAGTGTGGCCCTGCTTGCACAGACGCTTGTTATTGACACTGGATGGATTTGCAGATCTTGGTGTTGTTAGTCGCACCCGTAGCAAAAATAAATGAGGAGAAAGTTCAAGTAAAAATCTGGATTTGCACAGTAAAACCAAATCAGTGCTGGGAAGTTCAGCTCCTGTTTTTAGCTACTGAGGAGATTTTAGTTGGTGATAAATGGAGGAGTTTGCCTGCTGGGTGCTCTGCCTGTGCTGCTGGAGGAGCAGGACTGCAGAGCAATGTGGACCTTTGTCCCTCTGCCTTCACCGGGAGCCCCCATCGTGGTGGATGGGCTGGTCAGCTGCACTAGCAATGGCAGATTTGATTCAAACCAAGGGATAGCATTGGGGAGGGGTTTGCTCACCTCCCTAAAGATGGCATGGTGTTTTTTGTGAGAAACAGGACCAGGAAAGTGGTGTTTGGTTTAGAAGAATGGGAACTCTTGTTCCACCAGTATCCTCGGTGCCACTCGGTGAGCAATCCTCCTTTCCTCTCCCCTTCCCAGCTTCCCTGGACTTTCTTCCCTGTAGGAATACATTGTGTGATTGCAGAGGGCTGAGAAGCAAGTTTGAAGGTAAATGTGTGTACGTTGTTTGGGGCTATGGATTCTTCACTCTCATAGCTGATTGTCTGATTTCATCCTTTTACAAGGTCAGACCTGGTTTAGAGGTCACTGGATTTAGGATTTGCATCCCATACCGTAATGGTTGTGTTCTGACCACACAGCTTGAGGAGTCCATAATGAAAAGCTGGTTGGATTGAGGCAGGAGGCAGTTGTTTTTCACACAGGGGATTTTTTTTGGAGTGAGGAAATGCCATTGCTAAATGCAGAAAAGGGAGGCATCCATGAGATGTAGTCGTGTTACAGGATGGTGAGAATGACCTTCCATTGCTGTAATAACAGAAGGTGGGAGATGCTAACAACAGGAGTTGGAAGGTTTAGCGTCAGCAAGTTCTGACAACTTCTACCACAACATTTTAAAGGGCTCTATTATCCATAGGCACTTTCTGGATTAATAATACTGATAATTGATGACAATGGAAGAAAGTTAATAAAACGAGCTGAATAATTAGAGGTCTGCCAGCCCTGCAAAATAATGGAATGAGTGATAGAGGGCTTGACTGATACGGAGGTAAGGGGAAGTAATACAATTAATGTCAATTAAAATGTGCCCATGGAAAATAAGCTGATGAGATGTAACTGGGATGTAGTTTGGCTGATAAAAGCAATAATGTGTGCTGTAAAATACTTTGCGCCTTAATGAATTGAATGTAGAGCAATGCAGTGTTTTGAATGAGAAATTGAAATGGTGTAAAATGAATGCAGGGAGTGTGAAGTGAGTATTGACTGCATTGGGTGGTGGATCTGGAAATGGCTAGGAGCTGCTGGCATGGCAGGCCTTGCCTGGCTCTGGTCTTTGCCACAGGCAAGTTGTGTTTTTGTGGATAACCCCAGGTATTGCAACTTGGGTGTCTGTGAGGCTTGGAGTGGCCCAAGTGCAGGGAAATAGCGATGACAGCCATACGTGCAGAGCATTGGCTAGGGAAAAGGATGTGGCCAAAAAGCCCTGTAGAGTCATGGTCTGAAATACTCAAGATCCAAATAGAAATCCTGGAGCGGCGTAATGGAGAGCACCCTCTCCGTGATTTCTTTAACAGTCCAGCAGAGATCGATCCTGCTTGGCTGCTCCTTGCCCAGGAAAAAGTTGGGAAGTGGCAGCCCTGTTGATTTAATCTGACACAGTCACACAGTAAAGTTCCCAGTAACTCACGGAGCACGCAGGACTCGTAAATTACAGAGCAGCTCACGTTTATCATACACATCACTGCTTATCTTGTAAACTCATCTGCTGGGCTTGCACGAGCAGTTGATTTAACAGCATGTATATTGTTGAACTTGACACATCCAAGAGTCTAATCAAGCTTTAAGAATACCAGGGATGTCTGGCTGCTGGTGTGAAGTCTCTACAATTCCTGAGTAATTTCTAAGAATGCTCGTGGGCCAGGCTCTGTCGGGTTCACTGCAGGTCACAGGGAATATCTGTGTTGTATGGAATTGCAGAGGAGTTTTATCGTAGTGCTGGCATGTGTTTTATGACATAAAATGATTAGATGTGTAAAATGAAGTTAATATCCTTTTTCTGTACATTTCCAAGTGGGAAATGACTATAAATTAATTTTGTAGGGTAAAATGCCAGTGAGTAACTGTACTGCTCAGGATCTGTCATGGGATGCATGAGGCTGGTGGAAGACAACAGAGATATGGTGTGTTTGGAGGGAGAACTGATAAAGTTCTGCATTGTGGCTGGTCTCTCTTATGCTGCTGCTCCAGTTCCTTTTCCTGTGAGAACTGATTTGGTTGATAAACACATGCATTTCATGGGTGCTCTGATTCTTTTGATGGTATTAGAGGGTGATAGACATCTTCAAGGTGCTGCTGTTGGGACTGCTACAGGCTGGTGTGAGATTGCAGGGCATTTTGGGACTCAGGTCTTTTAAGGGGAATTGATGCACCTTCTACAGATTTAGCAATAACAATTTCTATTATTTAGTATTTCTGCTTTTGAGACCCTTGGGCATGGTGAGGTAGGAAAATTTCCATCCCTCTTCCTCACTTTTATGTTGAAGAACTACATTTATTTCCTGAGCTGTGAATGGAAATAAAATTAACCTGGGTTTGATCAGGTATGGCATGTTTTAGTTTTAAATGAACTAATAGACCTTGAGTTGCATTTCTGCTGCAGCTTGACAAAATTATAGCAGGTACTGGGGCTCTGTGCTTATTTACTTGCAAATCCTGTCAAGTGTGAACTTCATTTATGACTTCCCTGGCAGGTCGTGCTGCTGTGGTCACAGCTTCTACAGTGTTTTGTTGCTATTGCTTGTAAAATTTGCCACTGAGGGAAATAATGAGCAAAAATAGGCACAGGTAAGCATACACAGGCTCCTTGTGCCCAAATCCATCAAAGCTCTTCTAAAACTTTGCAACCAGAAAGAATTAAACTGCATTTATATTTCTGAAATAAAGTTGCAGTTTCAACAGAAAGCTCCTATTTGTCTTATTGCCATGGCAAATTGCTCTTTTTGGACAGGGAGACTGGGGAGTTTCCAAGTCTTGTCATCACTTGAGTCTCCTGGTTGCAAGCACCCATTCTCCTGTGTGTACATTATGTGTCTCCTCTTTTTTCTAGATGATCATGGGAACAGCAATGGCAGTCATGTAAAGATCTTTTTACCGAAGAAGCTGCTTGAATGTCTACCAAAATGTTCAAGTTTACCGAAAGAGAGGCACCGCTGGAACACTAACGAGGTAGTTAAATCTCTTTCTTATTCTTAAATGTACCAGCTTACTTAATGCTTATGGATTGTTTTGTGAAAGCATGCAATGCAAGTTACAGGATATGAATTCCCTGGCTCTGGAACCTATTCCATAAATAATAAGTCTTAGTACACGCTGAAAGTGAGCTTTAAGTGAGACTTGAAGGCAGATGTGGAAGTTGACTTGTAGTACAGTAGGAGTCTTGCTCATGTGTATGTGATTTGTCTCAGAGTCAAATCTCATATCACCTTAATGACCTGTTTCAAAATAGTTTAAAATTGGATAGGTGTGTTTGTACTGTGATGAATAAAGTGCTACTTTCCTTTGCATGAAGACTTCTGAACAAAAAAGCAGTGTGTGTTCTTTCCTGCCACACAGGAGCTTGGGAAATAACCAGCTTACCTCTGTCTGAGTAATCTCATTAAGAACAAGGGAAACACAGAACTGGGTGTTTTTTATTGGAATCCAGTTACCCTGAGTGTGCTAGTTCACAGATCACCTCTTACTGCATTGTGGTTGGGGTAATTTAAATAAAAAAGAAGTATTTAAAATTCTATGAAGTTAAAGAGCGACCCAGGTAGCTCTACAATCCCTAGGCTTTATTCCTGCTGTGCCGCAATACTGAATGTCCCATGGCAATACCTACAATGTGTAGTTTTAGTTTTTAGTAGCTCTGTCTTAGCATAGCTTTGCCATATTTATGGGAATCGCTTAATAATAGAGGCAATCCACTTGGAGAAACGACTGTAAAACTCCAGTTAGTGTCTGCTTGTTGGGAGCTGACTGTTCCTGTTCCTCTGATGCCTCGTTTGTAGATATAAACTTGTTAACAGAACCTGTACTCATGAGTTTAACACCTGCAACTGGCAGCTGAGTGCAGGATCAAACACGGCTCACTTCTGTGTGTGTGTTTGCTGAGCGTAGAATCAATCACAGAGCAGTGACTGTGTGTATTTTTCAAAATTGGAGTCCTTACGTCTCTTCCTTTTGGTGTCTGGAAGTTAAAATCTGGTATCTATTTTTAACATACCCAGCACTGTGATGGAATGAATCGGGTCTTTGGGGCAGTTGCTGGCCTTGGCCTTTTTGTGTAGATGTTCTGTCTTGGGTCATTTGAATTGAAATGTAAATCTAGAAAATGCAGGTTGCAGTTTATTCTGTGATAGGGTTTGTACTAATGGGGACAGGGCATGGAGCAGTGGCAGTTCTGGTGGCTCTGATAGATGATGTTAGGACAAACAGAGTTGGGAAAAGCAAGCTCTGCACGGGTTTGTGACAGAATTATGTTCTTCCCTCTTGCTGGAAAGAGCTGTTTGGTGGGGTGAGGTTTAATCACTTTAATATTGCTGCTGTCCCCAGTGCAGAACTTTGTGCACACACTTGCACACGTGGCTTTGGGCAGGATTGGTGTGTGGAGCTTCCTATGGGTACAGGATGTGGCAAAGTTCATTATGCTGAAAACTGTTATTATTCATGAGCAGAAGCAGTAAAGTGAAGGTGCTTGGTGTGTTAGGTTGGTATTAGGTTGGGAGGAGAATTTGGGAGTGTGGCTGTTCTTGTAAGGGTCGTGTCAGTGTTTTGGGGAGCGAGGAGTGAGTGCTCTGCTGGTGCTCGCCAGTGTATTGCTGGGGTGGGATTGTCTGCCGCTGTAATTCTGGATGGATTGTTTCCTGATAGACACAGGTCATCACCTGGGACATTAAAACCACACGCAGCCCCTGTCTGTCTTTCTGAATTTCAGATTCCTCTCTCTCGTTTGTATCCCCTCTTCACAGATCTCTCACTGAGGCTGTTATGCCATGGAGATGTGGATGGAGCTGGGTCTGTCTATGAGCTGTAGCTCATGGTGACTCTGCCAGCCTCTGTGGTGTAGCTGGTGCAGTATCCCTGTTGCATGATTTAAATGAAAGTGTGTTTCTTGTGGCCAGAGAATTTTTGGCCCCATTAGCTCAAAGGCGGGGAGAAAAATAGAAAAATCCAGAGTCTTATGCCTAGATGAAGTCTTGGAAATTTGTGTTAATTATGGGGGAGGAAGGAGCTGAGCTTCCAGATTTTATTGCCTTCCCCACCCCCAATCTGAAAGTTTAATTCTGTGCACTGTTATAAAACTTGAATTTTTCTTAGGGTATAATTGAATAATAATGTTGGACTACATTCCTGAGGCATTCCTAAGGGAATAAATTTTTTCATCTGAATACACAGGTGTTCTGCCTGTGCTAGTGAAGGCAGAAGTTGTAGAGAAGAAAAAGTTGTATTTTATGCAGTGGTATTTCCAGAATTTTTGTACTGATTTCAGAATCCCTGGTCCTGTGTGTGATGTGTCTCTTGGACAGGGAGGTTTAGTAATAGATGGAAAAGAAACGACATGCTTAAACAACCTACAGATCTGAATGCTTGTGACAATGCTGTCCTCCCTCAATTGGTGTATGTTGAGCAGTCACAGGTGTTGAGTGAGCTGCAGAGTGTGAGTGTAGCAGGCATTGCTGTGGGATTCATCCCCAGGGCTAGCGGGGGCCAAACCCCCTAATCCAGCCGTGACCCGACTCCTATGCATGGAGATGGCTCAAGGAAACTTGAACGCAGCTCTTGCTTGTCTCTTGTAGCTCTGATGCCCAGCACAGAGGTGTTCCCAGCTGTGAGGGTGTGGGTAGGATGGGCACATGCAGTCGCTGGGCCTGGACTGCATTGGGTCCTTGATGCTGCTGGTGCAGAGGTCAGGGAGCAGCCAGGGTACAGCATCGCCATGGGAACACTGCAGAGAACTTTTTCTGAGTGCTTACGTCTGCTGCTTGAGAATGATGGTGAGATGTTACTCTGGATTGGGTAGCTGGGATGGAGAAGCTGTGTCCTCTTGAGAGCTGGGTGGGCTGTGGATGACTTTACACGTAGTAAAATCACGTGATGAGCAGCAAGAGAAATGGAGCACTTAAAAATGGTTCAAACATGTTATTGAGGTGCTTGCTTTCCATCGGATCATGCATTTACAACTGAAATGTTTGATGGAAATACATTTCCATACCAAGAAGTCATCTTGTCTTAAATCAAGTTTATAGCGGTTTTATATTTCCTACTGAAGGAAGTATTCCTTCTAATTCAATTTTTTTTACCAGAGATAGAAAATCTTAAGTTAAGCCTAGCAATTTAATTACAGATTTACATTTTTGAAATGCCTGTAAAGGTGCATTGTGCTTATTTCTCCAGCTCTGGGAGAGGATAGAGATGGGGCTTTCATATGATTTCTCACATTAAGACAAATGAGTTAGTTGCCAGAAAGTTCTGCAGTGCTTTGTGCTTGTGAGGGAGTTCCTCACTCTGAGGGTTTAGTTGTTGTTCACTGTGAACCATTTTAGGATTTGTGAAGTGCAGATCCAGTTTGGTTTTTGTGAGTGGATGGAGCAAAGGCTTCTGGCTCAGCGTGCTGGCAGTGCGCCTTGAGCGAGAATTTTGGGAGCACTGGATCTTGGCTCCCTTCCATGGGAGTGGGGCTGGGCTCCCAAAGCAGGGCTGCTCAGAGCCACACTCCAGATGCCCCAGCTGAACTCCAGGGTCCCCTGATAGAGGTGGTGAAGGTGGTGCCTCATTATGTGCTAGTCACTTTGGGCAGTGAGATACGTTGTCTGCAGGAGATGTATCCCACTGCTTTCTGTCTGGAAAGTGGGAGCTTCCCGGGGTGCTGGGCTCAAGGATGTTGGAGTAACCTTGTTGCTGCACAGTGCTTGCCAGGCACTGGATTGCAGCTCTGAACGGAGATGCCATTTGTTAACAGTTGGCAGCCGCAGTCATTAATCATCCTTGTAAACACTTAATGACACGGTGCTAGAAAGAAGAAAAAGTTAAACATTGGAAATGTAAAATTCTGTCTTGGGCTTTGGTTCCAATAGGATTCTCTCTTTACAGTCTGTTGGGAAAAGCCCAGAACTTCCGTGGTAGAAAAAGCCAGCAGCAATTGCTCCATGTGTTTAGACTTGTCTTGTGGGGCATGGCAGAACTGCCCTGTTCTCTGGAGTCAGCCAGCATCCGCATTTTGCAGATTTGAGGCTGGGGTACTGCTTGGGAGAGTATTCAAATAATGCAGTTATGAAAGTCTGTATTTGAGCATTATTTAGCATAGGAAGAAACCCTCTGCCTCTGCTGCCTGGGGGCCCGAGTCGCGTGTTCACTGACATCTCGATGTGCTCTGGCGTTGTTGCTTTGCTTGCATGACACTGACATTCTCCTTTTCACTTGACAACGAGTTATTTGCCATCTTTTCTCTAAAGCACAGAGAAGATCTTGAAGGTTTAGAGAATTGCCTGCGGGACGTGAGGGACCCAGACTGATAGGGGGAGCGAGTCTGGAGCCTTCGGGCTGGCTGTGATGCTCTTGAGATGCTGGCAGGGAGGAAGTGAAAGCAATACGTCCTTGCTGTCTGCTCCTCCAGCCCCCTCGGCAGCTGAGTGTCGGGCAGCTGGTCACCGCACAGCTCCTGTCGCCACGTGTTTGTTCATCGAAGCCTCGCTCCGCTACAGACCCGGCAGCACGGCTACTGCTTTTTTTTTTTTTTTCTTTTATTATTTCTAAGTACCTTTTAGAATCGACCCTTACATGAGAAAATTTAAAAAACCTCCTTGTTTTAAGGCTGCCTGGGACGGTGTGGTGTATTGTAACCCTTCACTGCATGTTCCAGTTCATTCCTTATTCACCAAAGTAGCTGAATGTGTTACAAATTTGTAGTGTTGTGGAAGTGAATGGGACCGGTTTGTGTCACCAGCACAGCTGGAGCAGGGTAGGGTTGTTGGTCCAGGTTACAGTGTCCCCTTAAGATGGCAGAACTCTATGGAAAAGGAGCAGCGTTCAGTACAGTTCCCTGTGGACTCTGAAGTCCATTATATATTTTTTAATGCTTTATATCAATTAATTCAGATGTGTTCAGCTGGAGCTCAGGGTTCCTGAAGCCAGAGGCCATTGGTGGCTGTTGCGAGAGCCCTGTGCCTGCTTAGGAGCACTCCCAG